CTCTTGACTCCCACTCCTCTGATATACGTTAATAAGGTCCCCTCTCAGCCTTCTCTTTTCAAAACTTAACAGCCCCAGTTCTCTCAGCCTCTCTTCACAGGAGAGATGTTCAAGTCCCTTCATCATCCTCATAGCTCTCCATTGGACTCTCTCCAGTAGGTCCCTGTCTCTCTTGAATTGGGGAGCCCAAAACTGGACACGGTATTCCAGGTGTGGTCTCACCAGGGCAGAGTAGAGGGGGAGGAGAACCTCCCTAGACCTGCTGGACACACTTTTCTTAAAGCACCCCAGGATCCCACTGGCCCTCTTGGCCACAAGGGCACATTGCTGTCCCATGGACAACTCACTGTCCACTAGGACTCCAAGGTCTTTCTCCATGGGGCTGCTTTCCAGAAGGACAACCCCTAATCCATACTGGTGCCTGGCATTATTCCTCTCCAGATGCAGAACTCTACTCTTGTTCTTATTGAACTTCATGAGGTTCCCCTTTGCCCAGCTCTCCAGCCTGTCCAGATCTCGCTGGATGGCAGCACAGCCGTCCCGTGCGTCAGCCAACCCACCCAGTTTTGTATTATCAGCGAACTTGCTGAGGATACACTCCATTCCCTCATGAGTCAGGCCAACAGAGGCTGTGCAAGTTATCACAGCGATACTGCTGCACAAGTCATAACTTTGTGCACTATTCTGTTAACTCAGCTTCGAATGTGTGACAAACCTCTCAGGTCACAACACTGTGATACATGTCACATATCTTGCTTTCCACAGTTCTTCGCTGCTGCTTTTCTGGTCTATGGTGCATTATAAAGCAAACACCCCTGTTATGGTAGAGATAGGCTACCGACTTATTGAAACACGAAACCAGTACAATGCCTTTGTATTAGTTTTAGAGTTATTCTGGGACACTCTGTGTTCAATAAACCCTGAAGGTGAGACAATAAAAACCAGCAGTGACACCCGTTATTCCACATCTCTTTCTAGGCATGTACACGATTCACATGAACTTTCCAGTCATGCCAGAGAGAAGTACTTTGCAGAAATAGTTTATTCCTAAGATGAAGGAATGAAAAAAGGCTTGGAAATGGTTACAGGCCTACAAAAAGATCTAATGAATATGGAAGTGAAGGAAAAGGAAGTTGGAAAGAGTCAGAGGAACAGGATGAAATTTAAACACTTCTGCCTAGTTTGCAGTTATTTGTAACACAGGAATCCATTTCTACATCTTACATTATTAAAGAAGAGACTATTAGAGAGGCATAGAGAACCATAATATCGGCTAAAAAGACACTGATAGCATCATACATGCAAGAAATGGAAAAACGTATTAACTCAGCCGGATTGTTCTCTGTATCTTTTCCGGGGCCCTGTCCATTCCAGCTCTCAGGGTCATTTTTCACATTATGGCTTTCTAGTGAGACTCTGGGTTAGTGTTGTCAGTTGACCTGAATTTTGTATTTCAGTTGAAATAAATAGTTATTTTTAAAACATATGCCCACATTTTTATATTTATTTCCATGGAAATAAATGGAAGGTTTTTAATGTCACCAGTGAAATTGATTTAGCATGTCACTTCTTTCAGAGACAAAGCTTGCCTGATGCCAGTACCAAGAGCTGTGCATGCTGGAACAGGAGATGACCAGCAGAAAACATCTATTGGAGATCAGAAAAAGACTTCCTCTAGTTTGAGGATATAATACTATTCATCTTTAATGTTTCTTTATTTCTGGCTTTCTTTCGTGCCATACAACTATGTTTATATATGCTACATCCTATTAAATATCTGAATAGAAGACAGTCAGATGGAGAAATAATTCTTTTTCTAAACCAAACAAACAGACAGATCAGAAGTCAAATTTCTAAGTACAAAGCAGATAATTATTTCAATAAATATTGAGAAAATTACCATGAACAATAAGCCTTGAGAAACACTAGAAAACTGACGTCAGGTGCCATAGGCAAGCATCATTCTCACATTTCCTGGCACTGTCATACTCAGCTTCACAAGCAAAGTAACAATTTGTTTCCACACAGATGTGCAAGTGCTCTGTGTCCTTTCCCTTACACTATGCACCAGTGCCACCGGTGGTAGTCAGACACTGAAGAGGTTCATTACACCAACATAAAAGCACCCTATTTCCTTGCCTCTAGTCACCAGTAAGGCTTCAAGGTTTTTAAATGTAGTCTTTTATAAGATTTTCCTTGTATTTTAACATTCACAGTAAGATGAAGACTGCAAAAAAGTCTGGCCACTTCGAGTTTCACAGATTTGGATGTATCCCCCCTTTGGCTGCCACAACAAACTAAAAAGTTCCAGTCTTGCTCCATGCAAGCCTGCAGCCTGAGGAGTGAGCATTCTCTGCCCATGCCAGAAGGGGATGATTGTCCCTTTGGCTGGATGGGCACCTGCCTGTGCTGCCCATGAAAACCGTCTTCCACCATCCGCACTGCTGGGAGCTGACACCCCCACGCTGCCACAGCTCCCACTGCTCCCACCAACAAGGGCCGTCTCATTTTGAGCTCGTAGCGCTCGAGCTGTCTGCTCAGCAAACGAACAGCTACTGTGCAGGGTCGTACCTCCCTTTCCCTCCTCTTCCAATCATGCTGACACCAGGGAAGTTGATGAACAAGTGACATGCCCCTCCAGGGGAGGGTAGTAAATACTGGACAACTCACGTGCAGCAGGACAGGAGACATTACCTTTCCTATCCAATAGTCTACGATTTCTACAGAAAGCTCTTACTGTGCTTTTGGAAATCGCAGCAGCTCAGTTACGAGCACCCCATTGCACAGGATCTGCTCTTGAATCATGCAAAATTGTGCTCTTACAGTTACACAGTACAATCCCATCTGAATGAAAGAACACACAGGGAATCTCCTTGTACCTCTAGTACATTAGTGTAGCAGTTGAGCAGGATTCCAAGTAGTTACTAGTTAAAAAAAAATGCAGTATCAAGAAAAAAAAAATAGCCTCTAATAATGATTTAAGTTAAAACTGACCTTGAAGGAACCAATCAGCAAAGCAATGGTGAGCCACAGACAGGCTTCTGCAAGTGTGGCACTTGAGTAAGGCAGCTTTCAACTAGAAAGGAAAACACTAAGATGAGGAAGGAGCCAAAGGCCCCCATGTATTCCAGTACTGTCAACATTATGAGCTACAGAAGTAATAGGAAAAAAAATAATGTAAAAAAGCTACCTCTGATGATCATATTCAAATCTTTCCACTCTTTAATATGGTTGAGGAAGCACTCAAGACAGGTGTCAGCAGTGTTTGCAATAATTAGCAGTCCAAATCACATCAGAAGAGATCTTAGTCATATCCTTAAACTCATCTAAATCACACAAAAGAATTTCTTAGAACTACTTTTAGGAATAAAAAGAAGCACCTCTGTAGAATGTTTGACATAAGCTTCTCACTTACAAAACTGAAACAGACATCCCCTAGCTTATCACAGGATTTCATAGTTTCCCCTTCAAGAAAGTCACAACCAGATGTCTTCACCAAAGCACCTGGCACAGAAGTGCATTGGTCAGGCCATCTGAAGGCAGAGGAAGCCAGCAGGACTCCTTTGCTTTAAGTATTTTTTCTACCGCTCAGAATATACACGTCAGAGAATTGCACAGTTCCACCTTTCTCTAAGGGCTGAGACGCACATTGCTCAGATGAGCTTTGTGACATTGGACTTACTTCCAGAAGCCCCAGGAGCACTTTGTCTTGCATTTTTATCTATCATACCAGCTAACACACATTGTGGAAACATAAGGATACGGCTGAGGAAAACCAGGGAAAGAATAAAGTGAAAAATCTGAGCATCAAGAGCGATAAATCTTCTTATCAAGCTACAGGATATGGCTCAACAATAATTCACACAAAGCCTCAATTATTTACTTTGCAACTTTATTTCTTTATAAGTTATTTGTATAAAGTTTAATATCTAATTGTACAAGTAACTTGGGGACTTTAAGGGAAGTTTATTTTGTCCTTTTTAGTGTCATTTGGTCCTCAGACATGTTTTAAGAGGACTAATATTAACTGCGTACCTTAAATTTCTGTACAAAAACACTTCAAGCCTTTGTTTTGTTTTTCTGAGTAGGAGGCACAAATCATGCATATTGTAGACAATATAATGGTCAAGGAAATACTTCCCTCTTAAAACTAAGGCAGTTAAAACCTCGTGAATATCAAGTGAGTAATTTGAAAGAGCAAAAAGGCTTCTTTAGTGCTCATTTATTCTTTGAGCAAATACAATGTTCAGTAAGACACGCCCCTCCTGGAACCACCGTTGATTTGATTGCTGTCTGCGTTGAAAAGACAGAGATTGTCAAAGACAGCGTTTAATTATGTACATTTTATAATGTCACTAACTCATCCACTTTTGAATATGAACTCACCAGCATTAAGCATTGTGTAAAACCACATGCAAAAATTGCCATAACTTTTTTCTAAATAGAACCAAATTGGCAAGTTTTTGGAAAAGATATTTCAATGTTAAAAAAAAATATAGTCTATTAAAATGAGCACTTCAAGTAACTTAAATATCTTTAGCAAACATGTCCAGCAAGAAACTCTCTGTAAAAGAAATTGTTCTTAGAACAAAAAGCTAATGAATGGCTATTTAGACTCTAATTTTTCAACACAGTGGTGGGTCTGTGTGAAAGAATTTGTAATCTAAATAAAGTGAGTCCATTACACTGTTAAAAAAAACCCCATACATTAAGCAGAACTAACTATTGCATTTCTGTATTTACAAAAGTGCTTAGCATAACAAAATTCCCTAAAAAAATATAAACTTTACCAGTATCATTTGGTTCTATGTGTACTCCTAGATCTGCACTTGGAGAAAAATAGTATTTACATTGCTATATTTAGACAAGTTTCCTATTTTAAAAGAAAGTTAACAAAACTCCCCACATACATGGACCCCTACGTATGTCAATTCGTTCCATCTGGCTCGTCATAAACAGAGCAGAAGCAAATCCTCGAGTACTGAGCAGTACAAATACTTTTAGCCATTGTCTGTGGCGTTGGACCCCAACACAGGCTGTCGACAAATTGGGCAAGTGGAGTTTTCAGAAAGCCAGCGATCAATACAATGAATATGAAACTCATGCATACAAGGTAACTGCCTTAGCTTATTCCCTGTTACGTATTCATTAATGCAAACGCTACACGTTTTACTGATTTCATTTTCAGCATGAACATCCCCATAGTTCCGCGTAGAAAGATTGTCAATCTGCTCTTTGGTTAAACCTCTTAAACGATCATCATCATCATCTTCATTCAGCAAGAAGAAGTGGGCAAGCCGAAGTATGGGCAGCGTCCCATTTTCCACTACGTTGTTAGCATCCTGAGACTGCCTGTGATCTTGGCTTTCATTATTGCTACCGTAGCGTTGAATATCATCGTTCTGTCCATTTGTTTCCCTGCCGCCTCCTACTGCGTGCCCATTTCTAGTTAAAACGTCACTTGGATCATTCCTATTATTCTGCTCTGCCTGTACATCTGGTAAGTGATGGCTGCCTCTTTGCACTTCTGAGTTAGATTCCGTTTCCATTAAAGAACTCAGTTCTCCAAAGCCTGTCATAATTTGTCTAAGGATCGATCGAAGAGCCACCGACGAAGGTTCACCAAGCCCTGTTTCTGAAATCCGACGAAGAGGTATCCGTATAGTGCTAACATAGGTTCGAATACCCGCACGTTCCGAGCGTGATATCGTGCGACGAAATCCCCCACTGTCACTTTCGAAGGTAACTGTGTTTTCTGCCATTCCTACTCTAGAACGAGTTCTACTAGCAATGCTGTCCCGGTCTCTGTTTTCTCCAGGACGAATTCTTCTCACCTGAAGATCCAATGTAATTGTTGGATGCCTTCTAACAGCAGCTACTGGCCTACTAGATTCCTCCTCTTCCAAATTTACTCCTGAGGATGGGGCTACACTGGAAAGTTGAGGAGCTTGAGCATTACCTCTTGCTTCTTCTTCGGCAGGCTGGGGAGAAGGCTGAGCTGTTTGTCTTCTACTTCTGCTGACCTGCTGCACATTTCTATCCTGCCTCTGCCCACGTTCCTCAGAATGAGCAGTATCACCTCGCCTTTGCAGCGGAGATCTGCTTTGACTACTTAAAGTAGACCTCAGCCGCAGAATTTCTAGTCTTTGGTTTGTACTCATCCGAACATTAGTTGTAGCTCTACCTCTTCGGACTCCTGGAGAAGCACCTCTTTCTGGCATTTCTCTTTGTTCACTGGCAGCTGCAGAACTATTACGTGTAGTACGTGTTTGGGAAAGTCCTGCCAACTCCCTTGTTCTGCTCCTGAGCCTTGCTGAAACTGGATCGGAGACTGCTTCAGAGCTTCGCACCATGGAACTTCTTAAAGACCTGGTCCTTGCAGTACTGGAAGCCTCACTGTTTGCCTCTCTCGGAGACCTGCTCCTCGTTCGTGGGGTTACTGGACTGACAGCTCTTTGATGTCTTCTTTCTAAATACATTCTGTTACTATTTATACCCACATACTCCTCACCAGCAGTTTCCAAACTGTTATGCTCATGATTTATGTTGATTTCAAGACTAAATCGAAACTCTCCACTGTTTGGATTTGTTCGACTCACGGCTCTCCAGGTTTGGTTCCCGCTCTGTCCGCTGCGAGTGGCATTTCCTGTGCGACGGAACGTGTTCAACCATTCAAGCAAAGAGTCACCATTCGAGTTTTCGCCAAGGACATCAGAATCTGGAAGAAAGATAGAATTGCAAACATTCACACAACTGCATGCTCAGCATACTGTAATGCACTCTACATCCCCTATGCTTGCTGGGCCTTAACTTCAGAAATGATACAGTAACTGCCTTGCCATGCTAACAGATTTTTGGTGAAAATGTGTTCTACGTAAAAACATCAGCAAAACTCATCAGTTCAGCCTCAAGTTTCTGTCTCACCAGCAGATCCACAGAGAAATGAAAATGTCCACACAGACAGCCTCTTGTGAAAAAGTATTCAGATACAGGCAGTTCAAAGTTCGTTGTATTCATCCAATATCTGTCCCTCATGTAAGCTATCAATTTGAGGGTATCCTTGCCAACAAATTTTTATAAAGCAAGGAAAAGTATGACAGATTTTGTCATCTTTTGGAAAACATTTTAAAAAAAGTTTTCTATAAGCAATGGAATAAATGATCCATGGTTTAAAAGGATTTGCTCCTTTTGTGCAAATATACTCTTTTCCTAATATAATACCCACAGCTCCATTCTGAAATGTCCCCCACCTACAAGCTCAAGAACATACACAGTTGTTGTGGTTAGTGCTAACTATGCGTATAAAGTAACCTAGTGGTCACGATCACAGTGAAGGTTTTCCCTTGAAGGGATCAGATTAAACTCTCCCTACTTCATCTCTCTACTTTTATGAAGCTTGCAAGAACTTTGGTATCTTTGTTTTCGAGTTGTGTATTCCTCTCCTAAATTTGACTCAAATTGGCCAAATGATTAAGCCAATATTGCTAGGGAAGTGAAGACAGTGCACACAATACAAGCTTCACTTCATTAAAACAGTGGAAATGAAATAACAAAACCAACAAAACAGTGGAGAGATTAACTGTTTCCCAATTAACTTATTTTCTGTTCCCACTTCTCTAATGCTTGATAAAAACTTTTAAATACTAGAAGAATGGAAATTATTTTTGTGGTATAAAGTTTGCTACCAAAGGGAAACCAAGAAAAGAGCAGCAAGTAATTTGTGGTTGACATATATCAGTCTTCATGAAGTATTTCAGATTGGTTTACATACCACTAGGAAATCTCTTTTAGTTTTAAAACAATCCACAATGGTACAATGAAAAAGACAAAGACTTGAAATGGCTAGTACTGAAATCGATCAACATTGCTCTTAAATATCTGTACAGAACAATATTAATGCATCACATACTATGTGTATCTACATGTATCAGCAAAGAATGTTTACCTCCAACAGTTCTACCTTCACCTTCTCTGCTATCCAGATCAGTCTGTGATGCCAGACGTTCCTTAGCTCCCTCCAAGCGTTGCTGCAACTCTTCTGCTGTTATTTCCCCTGAAATAATTTACATTTTGATAACATTGCTAGATAAGACATTGTTATTGGCTCAACACAGTCATGAAGAAGCAACAGTATTTTCTATCTCGAATGAAAATCTTCAGAAATAATGAAAACCTTCAGAAATAAGGTGAAATCAACAAAATCAAAAAGAAAGCAGCACCAGTGTCAGATTGTAACACAAGTAACAGAGGAAGCAAGTACTGATACGGAATATAAAAAACCGCTGAATGTGTGTAAAGAGCATGCCAACTTCCAGTTCCAACTCAGAGGCCCCCAAAAACACCACACACCAACAGATACTCTTCACAGTGCTAGATGCTCATTATGTGGATATCACCTATACATGGAAATGTTGCATTTGAAATAATGGTATTTTTATTCCAGCTTTAGTTTCTATGTAAGTTGTTAATTTTTAACGAGTACCATTAAATTGTAATGAGAATGGAGGGTTTTTCCCTTTCTGCAAAGCCGCCGAAGTCAGGCTTCTTGAGTCACACAACCACACGTGGTGCCCGATGGCACCATCACATTACACCATTTCTACTTGAGGTATCCACAACCTACCAGGAGTGCCAAGCAAGTTGCGGTCTCTCATTAGCCTGTAGTCTTCTTCATTGAGCTCATTAATGAACTGGTAATAGGCCTCCTCTCTACTGAGGCGTTCCAGCTGCCGTTGCCTCTCATCTTCACCACGACTACGCTCTCGAGAAGAAGCCTGCTCATTGCCGTTTCCTGCACGGTGCCGAGAGCAATCCATGACGGTAATGCCAAGCTGTCCTGCACAAAACCAGGAGATTAGACCACACAGTAATTACAGTAATAATTCACTTGATTTACAGGTAAAAGTTCCCAGCACTTTCAATGCAATTAGTTTAGTAATAGCTAAAAATTATTAGCATGAACGAAGCTCCGTATTATTTGTCAAGTCAACAGTGTAATTTATTACGCAAGTATTTTGTTTCTGGCTTGCTGAAAAATAGCTAGAAGTCCCCTTTGCTCACTGAAAGGACATACCAGTTGGTACAGCAACTCAAAAGTAAAAAAGCCATGACAGATTTGTTTGTATAAGGATATTCCGGAAAGTTAAAGGAATAACATCTATTTCCCTTGTCTCAAGTAAAATACAACAGCAGTGTGGAGTATTTTAAAAGCCAGAATGTCATTGAAAACATTCTCTAATTTTTGGACTGTAGTTACTCAGTGCAGACTTCCGACAATCACATCTACTGCTTTTGAGAAGACCATCTTCCACTTGAAACATTTAGTGATAAGCAGGTAAGCCTACATTAGTATCTTCGTCAGTACTACCCCGAACAAAGCCTATAGATTCATTTTTTGTGGAACTGACTCTTGACATTCTTACATTACTTGCGTATTTTCCGTGCACTCTCTGATCCAAGGATTAGCTAGCAGGGGGGTACTCATCTCCAGGAAACTGGTGTACAAGATAAAAGTCCATATCTTGCCCGCAGTTCTTCACGTCCCAAATACTGAACCAGTGGGACCACAATACTAGAAGGCACAAATAACATTCCAGTGTCAGAAAGAGGCATCATCTCTGCTGCTTTCTGTGCCATTACCACCTCTCTCTGGTAAGGACTCAATCCTGGGCCAATCAGCTGTCAGATGACTCCTCAACTTTTTTATTTTCTAAAGAAAACTTGTTCTTCAACATTCAAGTTGAAAGATGGGAAAGGTTCATCCTTTCAGTGGGGCTTCCTGTAACACCTGCTGAGGCAGACACCTCAAAACAAGAGACCACTCTAAAAGACATGACCAGGCCAAAAAAACCCAACCACATGGCACCTTTCTGCTTGTGCTTTGGAAGGAAACTGTTTGGAAAACACTATTTTAATATTTTTGTCAATTCATAAACATGTCAAAGTCACTTCAAGTATGAATTATGGGGAAATCACAGAACAGCATTCTTAGCTCACTCCTGATCAGTAATTCGCCTTCACAGGAAAGGTGATGAGATGACAAACACACCAAACAAACTATTAGACGTACATTTAATAAAGAACAAATCTTGATCAACGCTGACAACAGACAGGAAGAATCAAAAATGTATTTGCCAACAGCAGAAGCTGGCATACATTCAATATACCTTTCTCATGTTCTTTGTGGGATCCATTCTGATGCATTCTTGGTTTCCTCATTTTTCCACCCCATATGCTACTTCTCTCCCCCCTAGGCAACTGCACTTGTAAACACCTCTTCCCCATTAATCTTTCCACTCATCTTCCCCCTGCGTCCAACACTGCATTTTGATGTATTTAATACCTCCTTCCCAGCTCTTAAACTATCTTAAAAGAAACCATACCTAAGTATCTCCTCTTCAAATAATTTTCTATTCCCATAACATTTGTGGGGGTTTCAAATTTACCACTGCACTCTTGTCTCAGTCTCACAAGCTGTAGGCAACTCCTGAACTCCCTTTCCCACAAGGGATGTGTTCCAATCAGGTCACTTCTCATATCACATTTCTAAACACAAATTTCTCAGCCAGCTCTTTGTCTTATTACCCTGGTTTCCTGAAAAGAAATCCAATGCCCACTCACGCCGCCATCAGCAACTGGCAGCACTATTATTACCCTGCTGACACCCATCACTCGACTATTACCGTGAAAACACCCAATCCATACTGCACTGAACATTAAAGTGCCTCTGTCCTAGTTGACTTAGAACTTGACACAGGTAAAGCAGCATGGGAAAAGAGGAAAGATAAAATTTGTTTCATTTCACTGCACATAAGGTTGCTATTTAGAGGAAAGCCTTAAAACAACTGATGAGTTACTGTTTGCCTGAGAATGTCCACAGTAAGTTAACCAGCTTTCTGAGCATATCACTATATTGCTGCACAGAAAGAAAATGACACATAAATTCTTAAGATGGAAAGTCCATTACACATAGTCCCCCTCAATCTAAATTTTAACTGTTGTTCAAAGGACAGGATCTTTACTTTTCATTTCTCATCCACAGAAGATCTGGAAACCTCGTCTCCATGTTTTGTGGGTGGTAATAAAAAACTACTGTTTTGTTGACAACTGTATGGTAGGATGATTAGTCACACTCTTTAAATGACTCACTTAGAAACAGTAAGAAGTGTGAAGGGTTCGGTTGTCCCATCTGTTTAGCATAACTGCACGGATGACAACTACTATCCATATTTATCAAACGCCACCAAACTAAGTACTTTGGCACTTAAAACGTTTCAGAGTAGTGAAAGTGCATCACAACCAAGTATTTTAGCACAGGGAATATTTCAGAGTATTGAAAAGCTGAAGGGTATTAGCTGCTAAGATGTAAAAAATCGAAATCAAAATCCAGTTATGACTCAGGATTACCCTTCCTTTGCAAAGAAACAGGGGCCACATGCCAACAGTTTACCTACTTTTTCCAGAATTTTCAACCTAAGACCAACTCCTTTAGTTCTTAATTCATAATTACTCCAGCCCATTACTGAAGATTTACACTGATTTTTATCTGAGCAACAGATACCTTATTTTTTAGGTTTGGGCCTCTTTCCATTTATTACTATCCCCCAATTCACTTCGGTGCTCATTTTCTGAAAGACACCACCCGAGCGCTCGCAAGGCGAGCACGGGCTTTAGATGAGGAAGCCTCCCCCAGCGACAGGGCTGTTTAGCATTTCTGTCACATCGCAGCCTCCAGGCGAGATGATCTACCGAACTGGAGGGGGAAAAAAAAAAAAAAAAAGCCTCAAACCCAAACACCCCCTCCCCAGAGCCTGAAGAAAGACAATGGAGAAATCGCAAGGGAATGAAGATGCAGGACACCCAAAGAGAGCCGAGCCCGGGGCCTAGGGCCTGCCACCCCCCTCCTCCCGAGCCTGGCTTGCAGACC